AGCTTCAACTTTATTCAAAGTTAATCAATTAAAATACGTCAACCGAATAGCATATCCATGGAAAAAAAAAAAGAAATCTCCTTATATGCAAGTACAATTCATTACTTGGAATGGTAAATCAACTTTAGCTTCCTTCAAGATTGATCAATTTGTGATCAATCAAAACATGGAAACCTCATTAAAAAAACTGGGCATCGTGCAAATTGCTTTTGTCCACAGAAAAATGATTATCGGTTTAGATGCCCAATCAAATGCACAAACTATTTAATTTGTATTAAAAGAAGTTATTCAGGTTCTAATGTTATTAAGATCAACATCATGAGTCAAATATATCATCGCTATTCTATAAATTGATTGCATTTACAGAACAAAATGATAAAGGAGGATCATGACTCTAAATAAGAAAATAAAAGTTTACCTTGGAAAATACTGACAATAAAAATTAAGAGATTAAATTGCAATTTCAAAAGGACAAATGAGTAACCAATTTTGCATGGAATAAATTTATGCGGATGAAATAAAAAAAAAATTCATCCAATATTATCTCCGCAATTTTCTCTGCAGATTACTACATCGCTTACTAGCTTTTAAAGTGAGATCCAAGGGAATATTGCCTTGATTTAAGCAAAATTCACCTGGACTTTAAATGGATGTAGAAAATTTAACATACTGATTCCTAAATAATTGAAATTACAAATAGACATGAATTTACCAAGACAAATTTTTGTATAAAAAGCTTTAGGATGCAACAAATGAATAGGAGGAATTAAATGACTTTTTTCTTTGTCTCTCCCCCCACTCCCCAATATTCAGCCAAAGAGGCCACTTGAGATCCCTCGCATTTTCTCTTCTCATTAAACCCAATAAGGAACAATGACCCTTAGAATAAAGACTGTTAAAATCACCAATGTCCCCTCTTCTCTTTCTCCCACTCGATTAGATTAACAAATCATAGATTACACATTCCCTTATTATGACACTTTCTACCAATTTCATTAGTCTTTCGTGCACCCCTAATTCAAAACTCTAAGACTTCATCATGACATGCATGCTATTAAGTGAAGAAATAGAAGGTTCTATGGAGAGATAAAGGTCAGTCAATCAAGATAACTAAATAAGCTTGGAGGACTTGCAAAGCTCATAGTCCAATTTCAGAAATCACATGTCCAAACATATAGCACCCTAAATAACTACCACGATGGCCGCTTTTGAAAAGCTTGCGGCCAAATTTGCTCTACCAACACAAGAAAATGAGAGTAAATCTACAAAGGAGCAGAGTTGATCTACATGTGAAAATTGACAAAGGAGCTTGGGTTGCGGTGTTATAGCTGCTATAGTACCAGACGCGGTATTGTAGTTGCTACACTAACGCAGGTCTTTTTTCCAATTTGACCCATTACCTTTTCTAATTCTAACCTATTTTGATTGCTAATACTTATTATAAATATGTTGTTTACTGTCTCAATGTTAGTTTTTTTATGAGTTTTATTTCAGATTTCTGTCAGGACAGTTGTCAAACATCTATTTTCCCATTCGAGGCTTGTATCCAAAGGATTAGAAAGTGCTCTAACTGTATCTTTCTCTCAAGGTGGTAACTATCTTCCTCTTTTCTCCTTTTGTTAGCTGCTTTCTGCCACTCCAGCTTCCCAGTCCCCTCTCACTTCCTTCCAGCTTTGTTGCTGTACAAACCAAACCTCCATGTTGTCCCAGCCTTCCCACTGCATCGTTATCGCCCTTTACAATCAGGGAACACCTCCCTCCTGCTATCACATAGCTATCCTCCCCCACTCCCACTGCCATCACCCACGAAAACCTCCATACTTGTTCTCCCCATTGTAGTTGCTACACTAACGCAGGACTTTTTTCCAATTTGACCCATTACCTTTTCAAATTCTAACCTATTTTGACTGCTAATACTTATTACAAATATGTTGTTCACTGTCTCAATGTTAGGTTTTTTATGAGTTTTATTTCAGATTTCTGTCAAGACAGCTGCCAAACATTTGTTTTCCCATTTGAGGCTTGTATCGAAAGGATTGGAAAGTGCTCTGACTGTATCTCTCTCCCGAGGTGGTAACTATCTTCCTCTTTTCTCCTTCTGTTAGCTGCTTTCTGCCACTCTCGCTTCCCAGTCACCTCTCGCTTCCTTCCAGCTTTGTTGCTATACAAACCAAACCTCCATGTTGTCCCAGCCTTCCCACTGCATCGTTATCGCCCTTTACAATCAGGGAACACCTCCCTCCTGCTATCACATAGCTATCCTCCCCCACTCCCACTGCCATCACCCACGAAAACCTCCATACTTGTTCTCCCCACATTTCTGCACTTTCCCCTCACTGTCACTAACATTCCTTTGTAGTCGTCACCCCTTCCAACATCCCGATCCACCCAACCGACCTCCACCACTCTAGGATACGCTTTATAGGTGTTTGCTTGTTTCATTTGATGTTTGTTATCACTTATATTCTGTTTGAAGAGTCGTCGTTGTAACCCTATTTGATTTCAGCAATAATATTTCTATTTCTATTGTGGTTTGGGTTAACTCTAGTATCAAACATGTTCACAAAGAATTCCACATTTCATAGAGAGTCCAAGTGGACATCAATATAATCCTAAAAGACTATAGTGTCAAAGTAGAAAATTGGGTGAGTAAGAAAAGAGATTAATCATAAACACAAGAAGGTAAACATGATAGGATTTCAAAAGACAGCTGATTTTTATGTATATGACCCAAAAGGAAGACAAATAAAAAAGAGAATTCCTCATTAATCATTTTGCAGATACATTCAATATTAGAGAGTATATTTGCTTCAATTTTATTCAAGATTGATCAATTTATAATCAATCAGAATATACCAACCTCATAAGAAACTTGGGCAACAAATAAATGGGTCCTGCCAGAATAAACATGCAAAAGGGATCTCGACAAAAATTGCAATCAAACTATAGCAATAAATATCGCCTAGAGAGAAATAGGCAAACCAAAGTTACAAAACGCGCCTTAGAAAAAAATTTTGCAAGCATACACTTCTACTCAACCAAAGACGTGATTTTTTTTTTCTTTTTTGGTTCGGGCCAGCTTAAGTTAAAACAAGTTTTCACTCTTCTATTCAAAAGGCTCGTTATCAAACACTTTATGGCAGCCTACCTCCATAAATTCCCTCTTATGTCAAAGAAAGTGCAGCCATCAGTGTTTGCACTCATCCTTACTGGATCGCAATGAGTTGCTACATATGATTCATCAAAAATACAAGTTCAAAATAAAGACCTTATTTGAACACGACCGTAGAGATGTGAAATTCGCAAAAATTATTGGGGCCTTGGAGAAATGCTCAAACTCCGACCGTATCAACAAGCATCTTATGATAGCCATGCAAACAACAAATTAGTGAAGCATTTTTTTGGACCGCTCAGAAATAAGACCGGCATTTTTCTAGTAGCATACTGATTGGAATTACCATTGGAGAGTAGATACATATCATTTATCATTTCTCGGATCTTAAATCCTTTAAAAGTGACCTCCCAATTTCTAGTCTAGAATTTCCATCTTTCTGTTTTAACAATTTTAAATGGGGGTGTAATGAAGCATACAGTAATTTTAGATCAGCTTTTTGTACAATTTGAATATGCTGAAAGAATGAAAGTTAGTGAAGAAGATGAAACAGAAAACAAACTATTTCTAGGAATATTCATAAACAAATTACCAGATTCAAAATAGCTAAAGAATTATACACTTAAATAAATAGCATGGAGGGAAAATTGGTTTGAGAACCTGATGCAAAGAACAACAGCCAACATCAGAGTATTACCATAAAATATTTGGTTGGGTAGTTATAGAAAAGATATATATTTTTATGACAACTTATGGTGAATTCAGTTGGTAGATGAATAATTGGGCGGTAGCAAGCTTGTTTTTGCTCTTTTTTTTTTTTTTTTTCTGAGTCAATAAATAGTCCTGTAATTTTTTAGAGCATATATGAATAATAAAATTCCTTTTTCCCCTTCCCTCTTCTCAGAGTTCGTATCCACTTGAAATGATATTAATCTTGATTCATCTTCCAATGGAAGATCATACCAACTGTTTTAATTCAATGAGGCAGAAGTTAAACTTACAAATTTATGTGTTACATATATGTAAATAATATAGATGTTTCCCCAAAGACACAACAATCTATTTTACCAAATTTAAATTGTATAAGACCATCAAGCTACATACAAAACAAAACAAAGAAATTACTGACTAATAGAAATGGAGAAATAGTAGCAAAATACAAAAAAAAAAAACTAGTTTGTAGCAATAAAAGCCTAATTTTCTGAATTTAGCAATCAACAACAATGTCCCCATGAGAAAATAGAAAGAAAATTGGAGACCATTATGAAGAAATAGAATAATCAATCTGCAGTATGAGTATTTCATATTTCATGGCGGAAAAAGTCAGAAAATGTAAGCAAACATAGCAAAAATGGTAATATGTGTCTATTAAAGGGTTCATGGATAAAATGAGGAAGCAGAAAGATCCACATGCAAGACAACACAAATGGTATAGCAATAATAAAATCAAAACATGCTGAAACCCAAGAAGATAAAAGAAGAAAATGGACCAAAATAGACCACACATTATGTGTCTATTCTTAGGTGCTTCACCAGTGTTGAAGCAACTTGCTTAATTTAACTAATCCTTCCTTTCTTGGTCTAACTTAAAATAAATTACAAGATTCTTTACATTTTTTTTTCTTACCAATTGACAAAGCTGCCTTTCCAAACTATCATTTAACAGAATCTCTTAAAAATTCTGATCTTTCCTGAATTTCTTTAAAGTTACAGAAAAAACATACCATTTTCACTCTAACAGTTTTTATGTTACCTCTCTCTATGATTTTAACATCAAATAACTAAAGTATCTTCTCGATTCTTACATAGATTCAGAATAATTCTATAGTTCAAACAATTAAATATAAAAGCAGTTGCAGTTAACAAAGATGGCAATAGCCAAGAATACCTGAACAAGTGCTTCATCATCAGATGCATACTTTGGTTTTTCAGATTCTGAAAAAACATGTATATGAGCTTGGGTACGATGCCTCATTTCTCTAATTACATTTCCACCTTTTCCAAGAATGCAACCAACTTTACTCGAGGAGACGAGGAGCCTTGTTGTGACTTTACCTTTTTCAGTTTCTTCACAAGTTCTTCCCAGAAGTTGAAGAACAGCCTCAATGGTTGATGAAATTGGATTTGATGGAACCTAAATGTGTTAAAGGAAAATACAATGTCAAAATTTGAATGATGCATATGGCACAAGAAATGGAATATTTACCTCCATCGAAGAAACAACAATAACTCGTTCCTTAGCATCAGAATCAGAGCCCTCAACATGAATTCTAGCACCAGTTTGTTTCTCTAATTGTTTAACATTTGCACCACTTTTACCGATTATGCTGCCAATCTTCTCCGTAGAACACAGAATTTTTATGGAAAAATCCTCCAATGTTCCGTTTCTGTCAGCACCATGGTTAAAACTACTTGGACCATGACTATGTGATTCAATTCTATATCCATCAAACCATGGTGTTGGTGGCGAATAGCGAGACAGCATTGGATTTCTGTGTGGCAAAGGAGGGGAGATTTCGGGGCCTGATTGGTGGATGTGTTGTGTACTTGCAGATATAATATCATCTAAAGAAGGAGTATCCTTTCGTGGATGATGGTGCAATAACGTAGAAATCTCAAAAAGAGCCCTTTTGACATTGATTGGCTTACCAGATATCTAAAGAGTATCAATATGTTAGCAAATGACATCAGCAGGGCCAAACACCAATATCTCACATCTAAACTTTCATATTTACATACATGGTGCTTTAAACTTATGCATAAAAAAGTGTATGCACTTTTAAAGAGTTGTAATAGTACTATTTTCGATGTGATATTAAAGATTTGAGAGCTATGTGTGTAAATATGAAAGTTTAGGTGTCAGACGTGTAGGTATATAAATATTGGAAGCTATGTATGCAGATGCCCCAAAATATAAATAAGCTTCGCATATGGTTCAATCAAAATAGATACTTACCAACCCAAATTGAAGCAAAATACTAAAACTATGATTAAGAGGTCATATTGTGATGCTATTTAACATTCCGCTGAATCAAAATAGAACAAAACATTAGCTCCTTCAACTCCATACATGCAATAACTCCTTGTCCAAGAAGCATATCCAATACACAAAACCACCGCAATAAAACAGGGTATAGATTTTAAAACCGCACTATGCATTAGCTCCTTCAACTCCATACATGCAATAACTCCTACTCCAAGAAGCATATCCAATACACAAAACACCGCAATAAAACAGGGTATAGATTTTAAAAGCGCACTATGTACCGCACTATGCATTTAAATATGAACGTTTGATAAAACAAGCAGTAAAAACAAATTCCTACGAGAAATAAACACTAGAGAGATGGAATGTAAAGAACTAAAGATCTGGAAAAAAAAACTGAGACATATTATGCTTGTTCATCCATTATAAATTATGAGAAGTACATTTTTAAAAAAAACATAATATGATATCCCTGTAAAAGAGAAAATAATGAACTATGACTGCAACTATAAAACAATTGAGCATATAAGTGAAACCTGGAAAACAAAAATAAACTTTTTTACTAGATTACACTCCAAATTACAGGAAGCTATTAGTAAACCATGCAATACATAAAGAGCTTGATAAAACACATAAAAAGCTTAAGATGGTGAAGCTTCTAGAAGAACTCTTCTTAGAACTGCATCTTCTATAACCTCAAAAAAAAATTGTGAAAGAATTGCTTCAGGTGAGACTACAATTAAGCACAAATGTGAAAAAAAAAATTTATAAATGTCGCTCTCGCCTGCATACAAGCACTTTTTTCATGAAGAAAAGTGATCAAGCATTTATATTCTCTGTTAATGCTATTATGCATATGACTTGCTTTCAATTATAGAGATGGGATTGAGAATACCAAATGAATTTCTTTTCTAATTTCGTAGTAATCATTGACATAGTCCTTAGTCTCGCCTCAACTATATAGTGTTGGGTTTCATGAATCCTTCTTCTTGGACATTTCAATTGCCAGATGCATGTGAAGATACTTCTTACACAAGTTTTTCACACAACTTTTAGCCAAATTACAAAATAACACACCAGCTTAGTGAAATTCAATAAATATTTATAAAATTATTGACACAAAAATAAACAGTAAATAAACCAAAAAATGGATCAGAGAAGGAATTTACCTGAACTAGTTCGTCGGATCTCATAGCACACGGTGGAAGCTCCTCTGAAGGTAATATGCGAATGTTCGCAGTATAATCCTGCCGTAATTTTTTAATTACATTTCCACCCTTTCCAAGAAGGCAGCCAACTTGAATTTGAGGGACGAGAATACGTGCAACCACATCATCATCAGGCTCAGCACTTTCATGCACCACTCCGCCGCGCATATATTCGTCTGCCGCAATCCTATCATGAATTTTTAGAAGAGCATCCTGTGCTGGACAATGTGGATTCATATCCAGATCATCACCACTGATGTTATAGCTTTTACTATTTCGTTCATCTCGTTGTTGCAAATAATTGAATATAATAATTGCTCGCTCGTCTGCACCAGGAATGGCATCAACGACTCGTATCTTAGCGTGTGTTTCTTTTCTCAAAGCATTAACTATATCGCCCCCTTTCCCGAGAACACTACCAACTTTCTTGATTGGGCAAAGAATGCGATATATAGTATCGGTGGGTTTAGCATTATGAACATCATTAGTGTTGCGCCGCTTGTACCTCCCATTATCCAATTCCAAGTTTAATCGTTTTCTGGAACCACCCGACTTGTAGTTCCCATAAGACGACCGCCTTTCATCATCCATATTACCAGGAGATTGAAAACTTTGAAACAGCTGAGGCAAAAAAGTCTAGTTGAAAACTAATGGCATCACTAAAAAGAAATCTGACTAGACTATAAAGTTGCTAACTTGCAGAATAAATTATAAAAAAAAGGAATAAAACCAAAGATATAATTATTTAAACTAGTCCGGCTTGCAAAAAAAAAGAAAATAATTACAATCAGCATGGTTTCAACAACAGGTAGAAGTGAGCTAAAGCTAGGACTAAAACTCAAGGAGAAGAAACAAAAGCACATGTGTCAAATAATCAATAAAAGAGATCACATCAAAATTAAACTTCTCCAAAATTTCTAAAACAAATTTATCCCTAGTAATCACATGGAAAAATAACATCCACAATCATGTTCAAGGCTTCAAGTTAGAAAGTTGTGGCTGCAAAACAAACAACTGTAAACCCATTTCCTCAAAAATAAGATAGTATTACCTTTCAAACAAGGAAGGAAGAGCAGGTTCTAGAAAGAAATCAGGCAAAAAACAAAATATAACAAACACAGAACAAATAAATCATTAATAATATATTTAGAACTTAAAACTGTTCGAGCACTACACACTAGACCAATCACTAGCTTTTAACATTTTTTTTCAAGCAATGTATCGGAATACAGCACTCATGAATCCGTAAGCCGTCAAAATTCCTATTTTGTAAACTTCAATGTCCCCAACCTGATTCTAATCTTCCAAACCCCCCAACAGCTGTTTCCGAGCATTCCCTATCCTATGCAGTACAACACAACAAAACAAATAAATCAAAGCATAAAACTTCGCAAAACAAACTTGAAGCTTGGAGCCTAGGGTTTGTAACACCAGCAAGCCCAATACTCGAATAGGGTCCTTCGCGCTCCTTATCGAACGAAGCGCCAAGAATAAGCAAATAAGCTACTTTCAGGAATAAAAACTCGAGGCAACTACGTATAAAAACCCTAAAAGTTATCCATTGATGAAGTAAGGAGAAGTTTAGGAACAAAATATACCTCGAAGTGTGTATTGCCTCTTCAGACGGGAGAGCAAGTCGGAACTGAAAAAGAGAAGCGGAATTAGCTCCTAGTGAGCAGAAAGCGGAGCAGAGAAGACGAGAGTCAGAGAAGAAGCCCTCGCTTACCAGGACGGACCTGCGCGGAGCCTATTCTCATTAGGGTTTGAAATGGAGAGCTTGACGTTGGCTCGATGGATTAATAGGAGTGCACTCAAACTATATTAGGGTTTGTTTCTTTTATGAGACGTTACATTTAATATGATTAATTACATAAATGAATGGTCGGAAGTTATTAGACGAGTTTTCATCATTTTTAAGTGTGTTAAATATTTGAGTACCACACTCTACAGTCTACACACGGGCATTCAAATTGATGATCTAAGGAGACTTATGACCTTCAGAGAGACTGTTCTACCAACAATACACACTTATAAGAGGCATATATATATTTCACATCTCAAGATTTAATATTATGATAATTAAATTTTCATTAATAGCTACATTCTATGTCTCTCTACATGCATCATAGTTCGATCTTTGCTCGTGTGAACTGGGATGGCTGCGGGATTTAAGCAACAAAAAGTCAAATTTCTTCTTTAATTCTTCTTAGCATCATACAAAATTAGGTGAAGAGTTCCTCCAAAGAGGGTCGCACCTTCGGTGAGCTCATACCATCCTCTCTCCTGTTGCACCGTGCCAGCCGACAAGCCCATGCCAAATCAAACACTGTCACACAACAACTGGTCGATGGCAACCAATTCTTCAGTTACCAATGTTATCCTTTGTCCCGGTTTTGCTCCCTCGAGAAAACAATGATGAAATTGTGGCGTACTGAGACCATTGAATTCTCCAAGTTTCTCTTCATTATGTTTTCATCTTATCCTATCATAAATCATCAAAGGAAGATTTACTCGAATTCACCAAACTTGCTTCCTAGTCCTTAAGGAAAACTGAACCTCTCTCCTCCTTGCCGGCATAAACCCGTACCCATCTCACTTCACTGGAGCAAAGATCGATACCACGAAGGAGAGACAAAAGCTACGTTGATGTCGGTAGAGAGAAACGGAAGTTGTTAACAGAATTTTGGATTTCGTAATATTAAACTTTAGAGTGTGAAATATATAAAATATTAATGTTTCCCGTGTGTATATGTAATAGAGAGAGAGAGAGAGAGAGAGAATCCTTCCACAAAAATCCTCTCCTAATCTACCATCTAACAACCAATTTATATGAAAAAAGAGGGAAAAATAAGCTTCTGCTCGTTCTCCTAAACAATAATCTTTTCGTCATGTTGTCTTTTTCTAATGATAACCTTTGGGGTGTCAAAATTGTCAGCTAATCAACCGCTTCTTCTTACTTGCCAACTAATACGTTCACTTGTCTTAATTTCATATATTTCGCTTCATGAGAACGCCCATTCAAGGTTAATGATTTCCAGCATTATGATAAACTCGAGGGAGCACTATGGTTGTCATAGTGCATTGTGCTCCTTCCCCAATGTCGATTTCAATCCTCTTGGTCGAGACGAGGGCTCAGTAGCGTTCTACCTCTTATTTATCGTGACTCATAAATCATCTTGATTGGGCCAAACTTGATCGAGTGGAACACTTAGAACCCCTCATTTGATAGGACGAGAAATCTTCACCACATTAGCTATAAATTTGAATCAAATAATGACAACTACATCAATTTTTACTATCATTTTTTACGAGAAAAATATGATACATTATGTTATGTTATATAACATTAACAGTCCAAATTAAGTCTAAAAGTGATGTAATAATAAAATTAATAAAGTAATTGCTATACATATATATTATATTATAGGCGATATATTAAAATGAAATATTATATATAGCTTGTTAAATATTTCACCCAAACATAAATATTAAAAAATCCTAATAAAATAATACTAATGATAATGATGGCGATGACACAGATGTCAACAACGGTGATGAGAAAAAGGTCAATAAACCTAAACACACAATCCAACGGCGGAGAGCTTCTCTGCCGCCAGTGGCACTCTCGTAGTTTTCTCCAAATACAAGGCCAATTATCCACCTCCCCCACCTCTTAAACCCATGCACCTTCTTCCCCAACCTCTTCCTCCCACGCGACGATCCCCCAGACGCTCTCCTTTCTCTCTCCCTCTCCCTCTCCTCTTCAATGCACTGAATTCTCCGGCGGTGGTTTAAATTCCGGCGATGCCAACCGCCTCCCGCAACGCGTTTCTCTTCCTGCTTACAGTAATCGCTGTTCTTCACCCTTTCGCTGCGGCGGCCCGTGATATTCCGACCAAGATTGAGGCCCATGCCGTAAAAATTCCGGCGACTTTGCCGGCGGCGAGGTTCAACGATAGCAAGCGGCTGATACCTAGCTGCCCGGACCCGCTTCACAACCGGTAAAGGTGCCGATTTCGTATATACCCCTAGTCGAAGGAGGTTATTACGTAGTTTGGTTAACCTGGTTGTAGTAATTGTGGTAATTATTAGGGGTAGAATGGGAAAAGAGCTTTGTATAGTTAGAATCTCCGGCTGCCGGTGTGGGAGAGGTGAGTGGCAAAAATGTAATTAAGCGGAGATTCTGCAAATACAGAGCTTTGTTGCTCGTTTCAGTTCAAGTGAAGCTGACCGAGGAACATAGCAATTATTGTGATATTAAAATATTGATTTTAATTATATTTATTAAATATGAATTAATTGTTTTATTTTTTGTTATATGTTTTATAATGAATTTTACGGGTGCTACGAGTTTGGCTCGTTAAAAAATATCATTGTTCGTGTTCAGCTTATTTATATTTCGAACATACGAGCTATTTGCGAATAAAGAATCGTTTTGACAATTCTAATCATGCAGCCGTATGATGTGTTTGATGTTAAGGATTAAGATCAAATTTAAATCTTATTGTTTATATAAAATATCATTTTAATATAATTTAATATATTTTTATTTTATTTTTTTTAGTTAATAATTTAAATTTATCATAAATCTTTGTATCTTTGTGGTGAATTCAATTTTTAAAAATACTATCCATCATATATATATATATATATAATTGATGAGTAGTATTTCAAGTTAAAACGAGCCGAACACGACAGACAAATATTTTTTCGTGTTCGGTTTGTTTATATATCAAGCACAAAAAGAGTATTCGTCTTTGGCTCATTAACTTAGCGAACGAATCAAACACGAGCTATCCTATCCACGAATAACTAGCAATTTTGACAACCCTATTTACATACATGTCACACAAATTTAATGAATTTGTATTTTTTATGGATAAAGTTTAAATTTTTAATATTGCATGAAAGCATCAAATTTTTATTTTTAAAAAGTGAAAATATAAATTTTCATGATTAAGATAATATATCAAAAATATAAATAAATAGAAATTATAGTAATAAATCTTCATATATATATATTCATATATATATATATATATAATTGCAGTTTTCTAACGACCATCATATTTAGTTAGATCATATTATAAAACACAATTTTGCACTACAATTTTTTGAAAAAACAGGCAACTTACTATTTTGTAAAGCAAAAAAGAAAAAAATACTGCGGACACCACAACACCACCCTGCCATTGCCTCAAACACGAACTAATATTATATCAAAAGTTCAATACAAAACTGCATCATGACTTCAATCACAATGCGTCATGTGTACGGTACGACCCCTTCATGCGTTAAACTACTTATTTATTTTTTATTACTGGAGTCGAACAATACATCTAGCGCATGTGATTGGAGCGTTGAAGTAGTTTTGCATCAGGATCTAAAATATTACTATTTTATTAGTTTATTATATATTTTATAATAAAAATATTTTTATTAATTTTGAATTTTCCTAAAATTTAAAAGTACATAATTTAATATTATTTAAAGATAATAACAATATTACTGTCAAATATTTGATTCTGCCTTTTTACTTGTGTTTTTTTTGGCTTTTGTGCCGTCCTCTCCAAATTTACTAAATCGAGAATTTGCAAAAAAAAAATAATAATAAATAAAAATAAAAAAAGGAATCTTGACATTTTAACTTGCCAAAATTTTTTTTAATTTAGTTTTTATTGTTTTAATATTATTTCGCTTTCATAATTTTCAATATCTAATAAAGTCGTCTTTCAATTTCTCACATGATAAATTATAAAAATATTTATGTAAAAATAAAAAATTATGATGTGGACACAAATCTAATTTATATCTCATATGTAATTAATTAGATGTCACATGTCAAAATATATTCAAATATGGTGTTTAAATTGTTAATCTTTTTATTTTAGGAAGATTTACATGCATACCCCTCAATTGCTATATATTTATATCTCTATTCCTTATATTTTATTTCTATGCAAGAAAAGATGGATATTTTATGTCGAAATGATGATATTTTTAGGTAATA